TACTTGGCCTAGGCCTATAGGTGACTCCAACAACTACATCTTCTGTCTCGCACCTTCAACAAAACAAAACATCCCAAGACAGGAGTAATTAGCAAACAAAACAATACCCAGCCTCAAAAGGAGACATTGGCATAAATAACCAAACGTTTGGTGGGAGAATTCTGTATTTGATTTTAAAAATATGCTTCAAAGGAGCAGACAGGGTTAGAGAGGGCAGAGAGGGTTAGGAGGGAATTCCAGAGCTTAGTTCCCAGGCAGCTGATTGGACAGTGACAGATTTTGGATTAGAATTGCATCTGAGCAAAAAGTCACAATTGGAATGCACAGAGAGCTTGGAGGATTGTAGGACTGGAGGAGGTTACAGGAGCAGTGAGATTGTAGATAGCTTTGAGAAAGAACTCTTTCCAGAGATTATAATGTATTGAATATCCCAAGTGAATGTTTGATCTGTGCTGACCTCAGTGGGACTGATTGTATGATGAGTATAACTGATTTTGCCTTTTAGGGAAGGAAATCTGTTGCCCTTTCCTGGACTCGCTTCCATGTAATTAAAGCAATGTGATTAACTTTTAACTGGCCTTTGGACAATTAGAGATGGACAGTAAGTTCTGACCTAGCCAGCAATATCCACATCCCACTTGTGAATATCAAAAAAAATTAAAATCATGCCAGGCTATCAGCTCTGATCTCTGTTCCGGATCCAAAATCCAGCAATCTCTGCTGGAACTTTATGGGTAATGAACAAAAAAGGATGAGTCGAAATGGTACTGGAGTCAGTAAGCTCATTGATACCCTCACAATAAATAGAACAATGAGATATATAGCCGGGCCAATTCCATTTGTGGATGCTCCACCAACACTCAAGAAACCTGGCACCATCAGTACTTTTGATTGGTAACCCATCCAAAACCTTAAACACCAATTACCTCCTCTCCCATTGCACAACAACAGCAGTGTGTACCATCTACAAGACACTGCAGTATCTCACCAAGGCTCCTTCCAAACCTGTGACCTCCACCAGCTAGAATGACCACAGTAATAGACAATTAGAAATATTTCTAACTCTAAATTTTCCTCCAAGTCACACATCATCCTAACGAGGACATAACATTCCCTCAATGTCCCTGGGCCAAAATGAGCACAAATTCTACTAACAGTGCTGCGAGTATGCCTTCACGACATGGGCTTGTAGTAGTTCAAGAGGAAGACCAAAGACTCCGTCCTCAAAGGTTGGTTAAGGCCAGCCAATAAATGTTACTCTTGTCTGAAAGACCCACACCCAAAGAATGAATAAAATCAAAGGCATGAAGATGTTCTTAAATCAACCTGCAATGACTGCTGGGACTTGAACTTGGGTCTCCTAGCCCACAGGCAAGGGCACTGCCACTGGCCTACAAGAGCCCTCATCAAAAATGTCTATGCATATCCAAATATGATGTCACTGCCTTTGGGAGAGAATTGCTGTGAAGAAAAGTCAAGGAAGGCAGAGCTGTTAATAACCTTGATTAACACAACGAACTTGATTAGATGAGCAATTCCCATGCCTGATGTCAGTTAATGGACAATAGTAAAAAAAAAATGCTTCCAGGAATCAACACCCCCTTAAATTTGGCAGATGGCCCTTAGATACAATGAATTGTAGTTTATGTTTTTATTTGAGAGAGATAATAAGTGTTAATATGCATTACAACATTCTGCATATGGAACATGAGTTGCTCCAGCCTACTAACACACAAAGTGAACCCTTCCCGTTATCTGATCTGTTAAGTCCATTTACACAAATACGAATGACTTGACTGAGAGTGAGTGTCATACAGACACTGGCCTTGGATAAGTTTGCGTCATTCAGAACTCAAATATTTACAAAGTTTCAGCAAAACAGCAGAAATGAAGTACATAGGGATATCAATCCCAGTGTTGCAGGAAGGTGGAAATAGCGAGCGTTACCAAAGGTGCTCCAGCAATTCAGGAAGGATTCTATATCTGCTGATTCCACCCTCGGCTGACTGTCTGTGTTGAGTTTGCACATTTATCCCATGTTTGCATGGATTTCCTCCTAGTGCTCCGGTTTCCTTCCACAGTCCAAAGGTGTGCAGATTAGATGGACTGGCCATGTTAAATTGCTCATAGTGTCCAGGGATGTGCAGGCTAGGTGGATTAGCCAAAGAAAATGCAGGGTTACAGGGACAGGATAGGGGGATGGGTCTGGGTGGGATGCTGTTTGGAGGGTTGTTGTGGATTTGATGGGCTGAATGACCTGCTTCCACACTGTAGGGATTCTATGATCTATGATTCTGGTTTCTCCATGCAATATCTCAGACATTGTTGTGAAACAAAAGAAAAAGACACAATATGTATATGTTTAAAAACTGCTTTGCAGAATTTTCAGAAGTGGAGGGTTTGAGTTTTAGGGAGAGGTTGTATAGGCTGGGACTTTCCTCATTGGAGCATGGGAGGCTGAGGGGTGACCTTATAGAGGTTTGTAAAATCGTGAGGGGCATAGATGACTCAAGGTCTTTTCCGTAGTATAGGGGAGTCCAAAACTAGAGGGCACAGGTTTAAAATGAGAGCAGGAAGATTTAAAACGGACCTGAGGGCCAACATTTTAACACAGAGGTGCATATATAGAATGAGTTGCCAGAGGAAGCGGTAGAGCTGAGTACAATTACAACATTTAAAACAGAAGTTGCTGGAAAAGCTCAGAAGAGTCCTGAGGAAGGGTCACCAGACATGAAACATTAACTCTGATTTTTTTCTTCACAGATGCTGCCAGATCTGCTGAACTTTTCCAGCAACTTCTGTTTTTGTTCCTGATTTAAAGCATCCACAGCTCTTTTGGTTTTTACAACATTTAAAAGACATTTGGACAGGCATATGGATTGGAAAGGTTGAGAGGGATATGGTTCAAATGCAGGAATATGAGACTAGTTCATTCCAGGGAACCTGGTTGGCATGGATACGTTGGGCTAAATGGTCTGTTTCTGTGCTCTATGACTCTAAATTACAGAGAAAATTTGCCAGAAGGAGCCAGAGACGAGGGACTAAAGTTGTCTGGAGAGATTGTCAAAATGGATTGTTCACCAAATGACTCAGATTGTTCAGAGTCCTCTCTCTTATCTCTGTAATATTCTCCTCCCTTAGAACTCTCCACAATCGCTACACTCCTCTAAATCTGGTCTCTTAATCATCCTCAATTTTAAGCCATGTACTATTGGCCTTCGCTTATCTGGGTTCTAAGTTCTGGAATTCCCTAATTAAACCTCTCCCCTTCTTTCATCCTCTTTTAAGAGGTGCCTTCAAACTAGCCCAGAAGTCACACGACACCAGGTTATAGTCCAGCAGGCTTACTTGAAATCACAAGCTTTCGTAGCATTGCTCCCTCATCACATGAACAGGGTAGAACATGGGCACAGAATTTATAGGCAGGCAGATTATTGCAAGATAATTCCAAATAATTAAGAGTGTCAAAATATAGTACAAATTGTGAATGGAGTGTTGACAGGCTGAATAACAAGTCTTTGCAGGTGATCAAAACTGTCAGACGATTTGAGTAAGATGTCAACAGTTCAATAGCAAGCCTTAATTAATTGGATCATAGGTCATCCCTTCACTTGCTATTCAGCTGTTGACACTTTACTCACACTGTTTGACACTTTTGATCACCTGCAAAGACTTGTTATTCAAACAATTGACACTCCACTCAAACCATTTGTGCTATCTTTTGATACTCTCAGTTACCTGGAACTATCTTGCAATGATCTCTCTGCCAATAAATTCTGTGCCCGTGTGCCTCCAACCATTTCATCTGACAGAGGAGCAGTGTTCAAAAAGCTTGTGATTCCAAATAAACCTGTTGGACTATAACCTGGTGTCACGTGACTTCTGACTTTGCCCTCCCCAGTCCAACACCAGCACCTCCACACTCAAACTAGCTGTGTCACTAAGTCACATATATCTTCCCACGTAGTTCTATATCAAATATGGTTTGAAACTGCTCCTGGGAAGTGTCTTGGGGCATTTAGCTACATTCAAAGCTCCATATAAATTCAGATCTTTCTATCCAAAATTTGAGCAGTTTGAAAGAACTGAGTCAGAATGTCTGTTTCCTTCAGCAAGTGGATCAGCAATTAGAAGCTATAGATTGAACATAATTAGCAAAAGAATTCAGGGGTTATCAGAATTTTTGTTCACACAGATGATTAGTATGATCTGGATTGTATGATCTGAAAATAATACGGAATAAGATTCTACCAGAACTTTCAAAATATAATTGAAAATGTACTCGCAGGAGACAAACTTGCAGGAATTTTGGGAAAATTCTGAGGTGTGCAATTAAAGTGAATAGTTATTATGTTCGACAAGAGGGTGGTTTTTTAAAGTTTCCACTCTTGTTAATTAATGAAGTGGAAAACATGGCTGCAGGCAAGCCTGAGTTCAAGCTTGAGCTGGGAAGAAGAATCCAACTTGCAGCTCTCCATCTCACTGGAAACTCAATGGTTAATTCCCTGCCCCGACCCTGACTCCCTAAATTCAGCTGCAGCAAACTGTGGTCTTGAATTGTTCAGGCCTTACATCCCCTTGTAACATCCCGACACTGTGATATGATCCATTGACTAATACAGAAAGTAGTCAGAATGATGCAAGATACATGTAAACTCAACATACCTGTAACATTTTCAGAAGAGTCAATGCAGATTGCCCTACTGAATTCTGAAAGGCAGTGTGGTCCTTCTCATTAGAAGCAACCTCCTATCTAATAGCGACTTCTTCAAATATCTCAAATTACTAGCATACTTTACCCCAAAATCTCCATATTCACAAGAAATTAATTCTATTCTAGCAATCTGCAATAATTGAAAGAAAGACAAATTGGAAGAATGTAGGGTGAACTGGTGAGGGGACTGAAGCAGTGGGCAGAGCTTTACTGTTTTTCTCATTTTAATAAGAATCAGAGATATGAGCTATGGGGCTAATGACCTTAAGCAGATGCAAATTATTACCTCAAACAGTCGCAAGGCTTTGGCCAAGGCCCCAACTTCTTCCTTTAACGAGAAAATGAGAGTCACTTCATCACCAGTGGTAAATTTTTCCTCAATATATATTGATCTCTAGAAAGGGGAAGAAGGAACATCTTGTTACAGATTGACCAGAAGTATAACACAGTTTCCAGGATTCCAAATCTACATCAATCCCAGAAGATATTATCCCATATTGCTGTATTCATCAACATGCTTTCCAAACCTGTGACCTCCATGACCAAGAAGATGGGCTGGAAATTGCGTAGGTTTATCAGCATCTCCACGTTCCCTCCCAATTCACCATTCCATCCTGGCCTGGCAACATTGTTCCTTCAGTGGCTGTGCATTGAAGTCCTGAATTCCCTCCCTAACACACTTCTGGGTGTAACTACAGCAAATGGACAAAAAAGTGGCTCACCCCACCACCTTCTTAACTGTGACTAAGGATTAAAGATACATGGTCCTGTTAGTTTTATTTTCTTGCAAAATGAAATGAAGATTGTGAACATCTTTTTGCATTAAATGAGAACAGATTATCATAAAACCCCTACAGTGTAGAAACAGGCTGTTTGGCCCAGCAGGTACACACCAACTCTCTGAAAAGCATCCCACCCAGAACCATCCCCCTACCCCTGCATTTCCCATGATTAACCCACCTAGCCTGCACATCCCTGAATGCCACAGGCAATTTGGCATGGCCAATCCACCTAACTTGCACAGTGGGAGGAAACCAGTGCACCCAGCAGAAACTCATGCAGACATGGGGAGAATGTGCAAACTCCACACAGACAGTTATCTGAGGGTGGAATTGGACCTGGATCCCTGGCGCTGTGAGGCAGCAGTGCTAACCATCAAGCCACCATGCCCCCAACAGAAACAAATCATGAGAAGGAATGCATTCAGCATGCCACTTGTAAACAAGGGCACTACGGATAGTGAAAGCTCTCTAAATTCTGAAAGCACTCTCTAAAGTAAACTAAACTGGTCTTGTTACCAACTTTTTATTCATGCTCAAGGTTTGGTTTTTGTTCGTCCTAATATCAGTGATTCCATGAGATGTTCCAATCAAGGTGCCCAAAATTATGAAAAGTTCTGATAGAGTTATTGAAAAGACAGTTTTCCACTGGTCAGTGAATTAGTGACTAGAATCATAAACTTAAGCTCAATGCCAAATAAACAGGTGGAGAAGTGAAGAAATATTTTCTTCCCGATGGATGGTTGTTGAGACATAGAATGCACTACTAGACATGTTTCTGAATGCAGATTAAACAATAGAGAAAATGTATGGGTATAGGCTATTAGAGAGCGGGACAAAAGGGGGATCTGATTAGAGAGCTGGCACAGAGGTAATGAGCTGAATGGAGTAAGAGCAAGGCAGTGAGACAGTACAAATAACTTTCACAGAATCAGAATTGTTTTGGCAGAAAAGAAGGCCATTCAGGCCATCATATTTGCACCAGCTCTTTGAATGAGCATCTTACTCAGTGCTGTTATTCTGCTTGTTTCCCCACATCCTTGCAAATTATTTCTATCCAAATAATTGTCCAGTGCCCTCATGAATGCCTCAATTGAACTTGCCTCCAACACATTTCCAGATAGCACACTCCATACACTAACTGCTCGCTGTGAAAAATGTTTTCCTCACATCATATTTGCTCCATTTGCAAATCAGATCAAATCTATACCCCTCTCATTCTTGTTCATTGTACAAGTGGGAACAACTTTTCCCTGTCCACTCTATCAACCTCCTCATGATTTTGAGAATCTCTATCAGATCTCTTCTCAGCCTTCTTCTGTGCAAGGAGAACTGTACAAATTTCTTAAATCTATCCTCATCACAGAGGTTTCTCACCCTTGCACACCTATACCCAGCTCCCTCTGCTCCTGCATCCCCATTAGAATTGTACCCCCTATTTTATTCTGCCTTTCAATGTTCTTCCAACTAAAGTACATCACCTCACATTTCTGTGCATTGAACCTCATCTCCTAACTGTCTACTCACTTCACTAACTTTTTCTTTTGGAATTCCAGACTGTCCTATTCACAATTTACATTTCTTCCAAGTATTGTGTTAACTGCAAACTTTGAAATTGTCCCTTGCATCAAGATCCAGGTCATTAATATGTACCAGGAAATGCAACAGTCTGAATACTGTCCTCTGGGAACTCCATAACAAACCTTCGTGCAGCCTGACAAATATCTCTCTGTTTCCTATCACTCACTTGACCCCGTGATAATGAAGAAGCAGCATTATTGTTGAAGCTGGGATTGTATGTATGGTTTGGAGAGGAACTTGCAAGTGGCAGTGTCCCTGTGAACGTACAGCCTTAATCTCTGGTGGTGAGGTTTTATCTTTGGAGGATACTCTCAGGGGAACCCTAAAAGTTGCTGTAGCACATCCTGTACATCGAACACCCCTCAGCCACAATGTGCAGGTGGTACAGGGAAAGATTGGCCAAGGCAGTAGACAGGTTGTCAATCAAAACTGCCACAACAACAACTTGCGTTTATATTAATGTCTTTAAAATAACAAAAATCACATGAACTTGACATTGGTAAAACAAACATTGGAAAGTTGCAGCAGCATTAGATCTTTTCAGGAGATTGTTGAAGGTAGGAAGTGAGCAGGTTAAGGGGTTTCAGGAAATCCCACTTTCAGGCGATGTTAACAGATAATTGATCCCACCATAGATTAAGGAGGGAATTCCAGGATTTTAACCCAGTGACACTGAAGGAACAGCAATATATTTCCAAGTCAGGATGGTGAGTGTGTTGGAGGGTAACTTGGAGGTGGTGGTGTTCCCATGTATCTGCTGCCCCTGTTCTTCTAGATGGAAGTGCTGTCTAAGGATCTTTGATGAATTCCTGCATTGTATGGTGTTGATAGTACACACTGCTTCTACCAAGCATTGGTGGAGGAAGGAATGGATTCTTGTGGATGTGGTGCTAAAAAAAGTGGGCTGCTTTGTCCTGGTTGGTGTCAAGCTTCTTGAGTGTTATTGGGGTTGCACTCATCCAAGCAAGTAGGGAGTATTTATCACACTCCTGACTTGTTTCTTTGACTTTCTGACCTCTGAAATGCTTACACTTCAAAAGTATTTCAATGACTGGAACAGCCCATGGTCAGACTGTGGTGTTGTAACACTGTCTTTACCAAAGGTGTTGAGTGGAGCACTCCCTGTTGCATCATAGAATCATAATTGATATTGGCGACTCTTAGTGAAATAAGTGGAGTAGGAGACTCAAACCAGTTTGTTATGAGGGAGCCTTCACAATAAGACAGTCTGTAACTCAGTGATAATGAACATAGGCTCGTCATTGCAGGACTGTTGATCCAAAGACCTGGATAACGTTCTGGGGACCCGGGTTCAAATCCTGCCACGGCAGATAGTGGAATTTGAATTCAATAAAAATATCTGGAATTAAGAATCCAATGATGACCATGAATCCATTGTCAATTGTCAGAAAAACCCATCTGGTTCACTAACATCCTTCATGGAATGAAACTGCTGTCCTTACCTGGTCTGGCCTATATGTGACTCCAGATCCACAGCAATGTGACTGACTTTGAACTGCCCTCTGGGCAATTAGGGATGGGCAATAAATGCTGCCTTTTCTGTGATGCCCTCATCCCATTAATGAATAAAAAAATAGAAAATCAACCAGGCTATGGGTGAGAGGAGAATGACTGAGGAGTGATGGGGATGGGTGTGTGAGGAATGGGTCACGAGTGTAGCTTTTCTAGGAAATGTTATGCTGATGTTTGCTGAGATCCTTCTGAATCTGTATCTAATGATTTTAAATCCTGACAGTTGGTTAAGTAAAAAGATTTGCTTTCATGTTACCAATCTCTGCCGATCATTACAAATCTTATCATGGGCACTTTGGCCAAAAACAGTCACTCTCTGTTTATTCTATCTAAATCCTTTGTGATGTTAAAGATTGCCATCACATCTCAAATGAAATAGGAGCTGAAGTAGGCCATGCAGCCCCTTGAGACTGTTCCACCATTCAATAAGGTCAAGGCTAATCTGTTTGTGTTGATGTGATTGATTGCAATAATTGAAGTTAAGGGTGACCTTATAGAGGTTTATACAATCATGATGGGCATGGATAGGGAGAATAGTGAAAGTCTTTTTCCCAGGGTAGGGGTGTCTACAGCTAAAGTGCATAAGTTTAGATGAGAGGCGAAAAATATGAAAGGGACTTAAGGGGCAATTTCTTCACACAGAGTGTGGTGCCTGTATGGAATGAGCTGCCAGAGGAAATGGTGACGGCTGGTACAAGTACAACATTTATTTGGCATTTTGATGGGTTTATGAATAGGAGAGGGTTTAGAGTGATATGGGCCAAATGCTGGCAAATGGGACTAGATTAACTTAGGATATCTGATTGGCATGGACGAGTTAGACCGAAAGGTCTGTTTCTGTGTTGTATAACTCTATCACTCTATGGCTCTAATTCTTTTCTGTATCCTCTCCAAAGGTTTCGTGTCCTTTGTGAAGTGAGGCTGAGCCACTTCATGTTTAGACATTTTCACCAAGGTCACAATTTTCTGATGAAGGTTTGTTCCAGAATGTTAATCACTACAGATGTTAATACCTGTTATGCTGGATCATAGTGTAATGTTTTCTTGTCTGTTCCCCAACCTTTCACTCCAGCATTAGTACCTGTGCCTTTAGCTGTCTGACCTTGAGCTCTGGAAATTGGTCCTCCATCTCGGTGTCTCTTTCTTGAAGCACATTAAAACCTGCCTCATTGACCAAGCTTTTAAACATTTGCCTTAAACATTTCCCACTTGGGCTCAGTATCAATTTGAATATGGATTATGCTCCTGTGCAGCACCTTTGGAACTGATTGAATATGATGTCTGATCATCAGGTTTTTTAAAGTAACTGTTCCAGAGGTAGTCATCCAGGCTATCCAGTTCACAGCCATGTCATTGCCCTTTCCTCAATTTCTAATAACCTTTAATGCCATTTGTTGTACTTCCTTCATTTGATGTCAAGGTAGTCTGTAGCCTGTATTGTTAATTCTTTTATATTTTAATTTATTGGGAGCAGGAGGTTCTAACTCAACAGAGCGAGTACAGACTCAATGGACTGAACAACTTCCTTTTGTGTTGTACTAGTTTATGATTCCATAATTAAATGCAGGAAATATTTATTTCCCCGACCAAAGTTTGAAACATGAAAGAGTAATTTTAAGAAGTCCCCTCAAACAGAAATCCCACAAGATATTGAACTTGTACAACACACTTGTTAGCCCTCAGATGGAGTATTGTGTCCAGTTGTGGGTGTCACATTATAGGAAAGATGTGAATGCATTGAACAGAGTGTAGAAGTGATTTACAAGAATGGTTCCAGGAGTGAGAAACTTCAGCTGTGAGGATAGATTGAAGAAGTTGGGGCTGTTGTCCTTGGAGAGAAGGTTTGAAAGGAGATTTGACTGAGGTTTTTAAAATCATGAATGTGCTGGACAGAGTAGAGAGGGAGAAACTATTCCCACATGCAAAAGGAACAAGACTGAGAGCATAAATTTAAAGTGAGATGCAAACAAAGCAAATGTGATGTGAGACAAACAGTGACTGGTTAGGGTATAGAATGCACTACCTGGAAAACTGATGAAGGCAGGTTCAACTAAGGCATTCAAGAGGGTGTTGGATCAGTATTTGGGTAGAAATAGTGTGCAAGGGAATGGGGAAAAGGCAGGAGTTTGGCACTAGGTAATTGAACTAATGCAGGTATGGTGGGATAAATAGCCTCTTCTGTGCCATAACAATTCAGTTATTCTGTGAAGTCACTGCTTTTATATCCTGCTGGTATTGCTGTCCACTGATTTAAACAGATTGGACAGGGCGTGAAATGAGCTTGGCACCCAATCTCCTGCATTTCTAGATGTGTAGGCTACATTCATGCTGTCCCCAGTGAGTTCCTTCATTATTCATGCAGCAATAGTATCTGCCTCTCTACCAAAGAAGGCATAAGGAAAGGGAAAGGAGATTAAGACAGCAAGTACACAGCACGCTGTTCTACTTCTATAAAGACAAGCCCTTGACGGGCTGCCCAGCTATGCCTGTGCCTTACTTCAAACCACTAGCGATCTCAGACATTTAAAGAGCTAAGTTTTGTGTGTGAGAGAGGGTCCGATGAGATGAAAATGACAGAACGGTAAAGAAGATGACTCCACCAGCACACAATTCCATTTCAATTTGAATTACCAGTTTAGTGATTACCTTAGCATTCTCAGCATTTTTCCTCTGAAATGCAGCATCCATGGCTGAGGGTTTCTTCGGAACGTTGATGCTTTATTTGCCTGAGGTTTGGGAGTTGTTTCAGTTCAAGCAGACTGCACTCCTCACTCCGACAACCCCAGCAATGCTGATTGTCCGTCAGTAGCTCAGGACAGGGATCTTTGGCCTTGCTTCTCATTGGTAAATTTAATGTTTGTTAGGGACACACCTCTCTCACGTAGTTAATAAGTCGATCACCACAATGATTTATCCTTTTTCATTTGCAGTACTGGGTTAAACATGTCGTTTTCTCTACCCCTAACACTGACAATGCCTTCAATCCTGTGCTGATTACCGCAGTATCCTATTTATTAGGATTTAGATATGGAATTTATGTTAATATCCTGATGCTCTTACTTACAAACTGATAGGAAAAGCCTGACTGGATTTCTTCAACAGACTGATGGTGTACGTTGGCTCCTGCCTTGCAACATTCCAATTTTAAAACTCTCATCTTTGTTTCCCAGTTCCTCCATGGTCTCACTCTTCCCCATCACTGCAATCTCTAAAAATATTGCAAGCCTCCCAAACCTTTTCAGAGGGTGGGTGGGAGGTAAATTTAAACCAAATGTAACAATGGTTAATTAATAAGGGGTAAGGGGTAGCTGTAGGAGTTGAGACTAACAACCCAGTCTTGTCCAGCACACAAACACATCAAGGGAGTGGGGTCAAAATAAAGACTGATGGCCAACAAACTGGGGAAAGCTCCATTATTCTCTAGATGTTTATCTGTCTTTGTCATCCTTTGGTTCCTACTTTTAATCACTGTACAATTACCAATGTGTCTTCAGTTGCCTGGGCCCTAAGCTGTCAAGGTGTTTATCTTGCACTCATCAGGTCATTTCACAAGAATAAAAATTCAGTGCAGAATATCAATATTTATATTGCATTGGAGGAGGGTGCTGATTGTTTGAAAAGTGGACTCTGATTGATAGAGACATTGCTATGGAGAATGCACCCATTAATACCAATTGACATTTAACATTCAGGTTTTGTTCGATTTTAAACAAGGTAGGTTAATTTTGATTGGCCAGGGCATCGTCTTGAGAAATGAAACAGCCAATTACTGTCAACTATTTTATTGAGTTGAAACAGGTGCACTCTAGATACATGTTCTTCGCATCTGCCCATGACAGTACGAGTAAGAGTGACCACGGCACAGGCCTTGTGGAGACAAAGTCCCTCTTTCACATTGAGAATACCCGCCATCTTGTTGTGTGACACTATCACCATGCTAAATGGGGCAAACTTTGAACATATCCAGCCATTCACCACTCCTCAGATACTGAGGAGTTCAGATTTTTTGGGGTTCAGATTTTTGGGACATTGGGACCGGTTCTGGGGGAGGTGGGACTATTACAAATCGGACGGTCTACGCCTGGGCAGGACTGGAACCAATGTCCTAGGAGCTGCTTTTGCTAATGCTGTTGGGGAGGGTTTAAACTAATGTGGCAGGGGGATGGGAACCAAATGAGGATATTAGTGGACACTAAGGAGGTAGTAACTAAAGCCTGTAAGGAACTAGATAATAAAGTCAGTGTGACTAAGGGGAAGAGTAGGCAGAGAGCAGATGATGAACGCAAAGGGACAGGTGGTCTGAGGTGCATTTGTTTTAATGCGAGAAGTGTAGTAGGTAAGGCAGATAAACTTAGGGCTTGATTTAGTACCTGGGAGTATGATGTTATTGCTATTACTGAGACTTGGTTGAGGGAAGGGCAAGATTGGCAACTAAATATCCCAGGATATAGATGCTTCAGGTGGGATACAGAAGGAGGTAAAAGGGGTGGAGGAGTTGCATTACTGGTCAAAGAGGATATCACAGCTGTGCTGAAGGGGGGCACTATGGAGGACTCAAGCAGTGAGGCAATATTGGCAGAGCTCAGAAATAGGAAGGGTGCGGTAACAATGTTGGGGCTGTACTACAGGCCTCCCAACAGCGAGCATGAGACACAGGCACAAATATGTAGACAGATTACGGAAAGATGTAGGAGCAACAGAGTGGTGGTGATGGGAGATTTTAATTTCCCCAACATTGACTGGGATTCACTTAGTGTTAGGGGTTTAGATGGAGCAGAATTTGTAAGGAGCATCCAGGAGGGTTTCCTAGAGCTGTATGTAAATAGTCCAACTCGGGAAGGGCCATACTGGACCTGGTGTTGGGGAATGAGCCCGGCCAGGTGGTTGAAGTTTCAGAGATAGTAGGAACTGCAGATGCTGGAGAATCCGAGACAACAAGGTGCAGGGCTGGATGAACACAGCAGGCCAAGCAGCATCATAGGAGCAGAGACGCTGACGTTTCGGGCCTAGACCCTTCATCAGAAAAAAAGTTTCAGTAGGAGATTACTTTGGGAATAGTGATCACAATTCCGTAAGTTTTAGAATACTAATGGACAAAGACAAGAATGGTCCTAAAGGAAGAGTGCTGAATTCGAGAAGGCCAACTATAGCAAAATTCGGCAGGAGCTGGGGAATGTGGATTGGAAGCAGCTGTTTGAGGGTAAATCCACATTTGATATGTGGGAGGCTTTTAAAGAGAGGTTGATTAGAGTGCAGGACTGACATGTCCCTGTGAAAATGAGGGATAGAAAGGGCAAGATTAGTGAACCATGGATGACAGGTCAAATTGTGAGACTAGCAAAGAGGAAAAAGGAAGCATACATAAGGTCTAGGCAACTGAAAACAGACGAAGCTTTGGAAGAATATCGGGAAAGTCAGACCAATCTGAAATGAGGAATTAAGAGGGCTAAAAGGGGTCATGAAATATTTTTAGCAAACAGGGTTAAGGAAAATCCCAAAGCCTTTTATTCATACATAAGGAGCAAGAGGGTAACTAGAGAAAGGGTTGGCCCACTCAAGGATAAAGGAGGGAAGTCAGAGAAAATGACTGAGATTCTTAATGAGTACTTTGCGTACTGAGGAGAGGGACATGACGGATGTTGAGGTTAGGGATAGATGTTTAGTTACTCTAGGTCAAGTCAGCATAAGGAAGAGGGAAGTGTTGGGTATTCTAAAAGGCATTAGGGTGGACAAGTCCCCAGGTCCGGATGGGATCTATCCCAGGTTACTGAGGGAAGCGAGAGAGAAAATAGCTGGGGCCTTAACAGATATGTTTGCAGCATCCTTGAGCACGGGTGAGGTCCTGGAGGACTGGAGAATTGCTAATGTTGTCCCCTTGTTTAAGAAGGGTAGCAAGGATAATCCAGGTAATTATAGACTGGTGAGCCTGACGTCAGTGGTGGGGAAGCTGCTGGAGGAGATACTGAGGGATAGGATCTATTTACATTTGGAAGAAAATCGGCTTATTAGGGATAGGCAGCATGGTTTTGTGCAGGGAAGGTCATGTCTTACCAACTTGATAGAATTCTTTGAGGAAGTGACAAAGTTGATAGATGAGGGAAGGGCTGTACATGTCATATACATGGACTTCAGTAAGGCATCTAATAAGGTTCCCCATGGTAGGCTGATGGAGAAAGTGAAGTTGCATGGGGTCCAGGGTGTACTAGCTAGATGGATAGAGACCTGGCTGGGCAACAGGAGACAGAGAGTTGTAGTGGAAGAGAGTTTCTCAAAATGGAGAACTGTGACCAGTGGTGTTCCACAGGGATCTGTGTTGGGACCACTGTTATTTGTGATATACATAAATGATCTGGAGGAAGGTATAGATGGTCTGATTAGCAAGTCTGCAGATGACACTAAGATTGCTGGAGTAGCAGATAGTGAAGGGGACTGTCGGAGAATGCAGCAGAATATAGATAGATTGGAGAGCTGGGTGGAGAAATGGCAGATGGAGTTCAATCCAGACAAATGCGAGGTGATGCATTTTGGAAGATCCAATTCAAGAGCAAACTATATGGCAAATGGAAAAGCCCTGGGGAAAATTGATGCACAGAGAGATCTGGGTGTTGAGGTGCATTGCACCCTGAAGGTGGCAACGCAGGTCGATAGAGTGGTCAAGAAGGCATACGGCATGCTTTCATTCATCGGATGGGGTATTGAGTACAAGAGTTAGCAGGTCACGTTACAGTTGTATAGAACTTTGGTTCGACCACATTTGGAATACTGTGTACAGTTCTGGTCGCCACATTACCAAAAGGATGTGGATGCTTTGGAGAGGGTGCAGAGGAGGTTCACCAGGATGTTGCCTGGTATGGAGGGCGCTAGCTATGAAGAGAGGTTGAGTAGATTAGGATTATTTACAATTGAAAGACGGAGGTTGAGGGGGGACCTGATTGAGGTCTACAAAATCATGAGCAGTATAGACAGGGTGGACAGCAAGAAGATTTTTCCCAGAGTGGGGGACTCAATTACTAGGGGTCATGATTTCAAGGTGAGAGGGGAAAAGTTTAAGGGAGATATGCGTGGAATGTTCTTTACGCAAAAGGTGGTGGGTGCCTGGAATGCGTTGCCAGTGGAGGTGGTAGAGGCGGGCATGATAACATCATTTAAGATGTATCTAGACAGATACATGAATGGGCAGGGAGCAGAGGGATACAGATCCTTGGAAAATAGGCAACAAGTTTAGATAGAGGATCTGGATCAGTGCAGGCTTGAAGGGCCGAAGGGCCTGTTCCTGTGCTGTAATTTTCTTTGTTCTTTGTTCTTTGCTCTTTGTTCTTTGAAGCAGCCCATGTTCAAATCCAACAAGATCTGCAATATCCATGCTTGAGCTGACAAGTAGCAAGAAACATTCATACCACACAAATGCCAGGGCTATGACTTGTTTAAAATTTAACAAAGCCTGGCTGTTAACTGTCAATCAGTATAACCACTGCCCCTTGACAGTCAATGGTGTTACAATCACTGAATCTCCCACCATCAACACCATGGGGATTATCATTAACCAGAAACGCAACTGGACTCATCACAAAAACACAATGGATATAAGAGCACATTAACGGCTTTTAATAAATAAACAAATATATAAAGGAATACTTCAGCTGGTAACTCACCTTCTGACTCCTCAAATAAAAACCGAAAGAACTGCGGATGCTGATCCTGACTCCCCAAAGCCTTTCCACCATCTACAAGGCACAACTAGGAGTGTGATGGAATTCTCCCCACTTGC